GGAAAGGGAAGATAGGAAAAGGAACAGAGAGTACAAAGACAAGAGAGAAAGCACTTTATCTGAAAGGAAGCCCAAGTTGAATAAGAGTGCACCAAATAATTTATGAAAGAGAGCAAGGAAGGAAAGCCTAGAGAAGTAACAGTCAGACCACGAAGGATCTCATATACATGCCATGCAACAGTTTAAGCTTTATCCTGAAAGCAACAAGAAAGCACTGACGATCTTTCAATAGGAAAAAACATGATTAGATTTGTATTTGTACTATAAATGTCATTTATGGTGCCTGCCATGCTTGCAACCCCATCTTGTGAGAAACTAGCCAGTACACTGTCCCATGCTTTTCACCATTATGATCCTGCCCCACACTCACATGCACAAATAAACACATGGCCAACACTAAATGGCCAGGAGTGGTCACATGACCCAAGTACACAGGCTTGTTAGCAGCCCATGAGAAAAACAGCTGAGCCAAAGAGATTGCTTCTTGGGAATTCAACCCAGAAAATCCTAGGGAGAAGGAAGAAGTTAGCAACAGGAGCTCAAGTTAATAAGATAGCAGCCAGAAGGCAAGATGTTGGCATGGGAGCAACACAGTTGTTATGAGGAGGCAGAAATTAGGAATAAATGGAAGCTATGAAATAGAGGCGGAAAGAATTGGAGTAGAGAGAAAAAATAAGCCACAAAGAAATAGAAAGAGTAGCTAAAACAAGTTAACAGTAAAGCACTAGAGTGAAATCCGTCTTTTCCTACTTCTAGTTCTAGTTTTATTTATTAAGCTCCCGTTCTTCTTGAGACCAAGTTGTTTAACTTTTTCTGGGTTCCCTTGTGCATGCTCCTTTTCAATAAGCAAGCACTCCACTACCTAAGGTAACTTGAGTCTCTTCCTTGCAACTGAAAGAGTCTAACTAAAAGAGCACTTTAGAACACTTACTCTGGCAGCAGTTCAGAGAACGAACTGAAGGGTATGGCAAAACAAGAGGCAGAAGAAAGAAGGCAAGAAAACCACTTAGAAAGCAGTACAGAAGCCCAACAGATATTTTGGGTTAAAATAGGGACGACAAAAACAGCAATAAGGAATGATCTGAAATACCATGAGGGAGATTGTACAGACTTAGTGACGTCGGCAGTAAGGTACAGAGTGGACAGGAGGATGATTCCCAGGTCCCTTAAGACTTCACGAGAAGAGGGCAGTGCCATTCATCAAGATAGGAAATCAAAATAAAAAATTTTGTTTCAGTTTGTCTCCCTCTCCCCCACCGTTTTTGGGGGAAGAGAGGTAAAGACGAGTTTTGTTTTGTACATGTTTGAAGTGCTTGTGAAATGTGAATCCAAGTGGAGATGTCCATTAGCAGTGATTTATAGGGGCCTAGAGTAGAGCAAAAGCTCTATACAGTAGCGCTAGATTTAGGAATAAATACATTAAGTTAATGTTATAGTTTTAAAACATGACTGAAAATTCTTCGACTAATACTCATTTTAAACCAAGTTAATATAACTAAAAATCAGGCAAACTAAAAAACTTAATATTCTTGGCAAACCACATTGTCAAACCTCTGTACTTCTCTGCAAACACTGAAGACTGAACAAACTTCTATAATAGTATAATTCAAATGATTAGGAAAGATGTGATTTATACTACTAATTTCTACTAGTTTTACTTTTTTAAAAAAAATCTAAGTTTACTCCATCTCCCTCATAAACTATATACCAATAATGTTAAGTAAGGGAAAAAACTGTTAAAAAGTCATGTTAGACAGTGAACCTCATTATTGATGCTTCAAGTATAAAAAAGATTTTTTAAAAAACTTAATCACATAATTTACTAGCTTAACAGTCAACTCTACCTGTACTGTAAATGTTGGGTTTCTGTCCTACAATCTTTTCTTCTCTCATCTATACCCTTTGCCCCCAGAATCTCTTATGACCAACCCAGAACTTGATAATAAGCAGCTGCCACAAATCCAGCTGCCTACTGGCCATCTACTTCTGACAGAAGTATAATCACCCCAACTTAACATGTCACAAATTTAATTCCTCTTTCTTGATAAAAAATAAAATAAAAATCCTACTCCTCCCTCATATGGATGGCCACCTCAGGGAAAGGCAGAAGCTAGAAACCTAGATCTTATCCTCTATGAACCCCATCCCTAATCCCAAATCTAACGAAATCACCAAGACCTATCTACTCCAATACTCAAATCCAGACCCACTATCATCATTTGCCTGGACTACCCTCCTGATATTACTGCCTTTAGCCTTAGTCTACCCTTCAATCCAACCCTCCACATTGCAGCCAGAGTGACCTTTTAAAAACACAAATCTGATCATTTCAGTCCCCTACATTGAATCCTTCAATAACTTATTTGATAAATATAAATGACCATCAAAGCTAGTCACTCCACGGAAGCTCAGAGGTTCAATGAGAAATTTACTTTAGTTATATTCTTTTTTGTAGGTTCAACACAAAGAATCACCAGGAAATTTTAACACCTGATACATTTAAAAAACAAGCATGCAGCACTGTTTGTAAAAGCAAAGATGAAAATAACCTCAAGACCACCAAAATGGAATACTACCCAGCCAAGTAAATGAGGCACGTCCATATGTACTGTTGTTCAATGATCTCTAGGATCTATTATTAAATGAAATTTTTAAAAAACAAGCTATATACAGAGTGTACAGTACGCAAGCATTTGTCTGTGGTGTGTTTTAAAAATATAAATGTATAGGCCTATATATGCTAGAAATATCCCAGGAAGGAGACACAAGAAAATGGAAATAGTTGCCTCTAAAGAGGGAAAATGGGATGGTTGGATGATAAAGAGGGAAGAGAAATTTTTTACTGCATGCCCTTTTGAACCTTTTGACTTTTATACTACATTTAGTTACTACCTATGCTTATAATATGACTTTCCCCTCCTCAGTTCCACACAAAACAAAATTTTAAAAGTACTGACTACAAAAATCTCTCTATACTTCATCCCGATACCAACATTAAAATTATGCACTGATCATTTGGTGTAACATTACATTTCCTTCTTGACAGCTCAGGAGTTCAACTTCAACAAACAACATTTTATTCAATATTTTACTACTGCTGAGAAGGCTGTTGATAACATCAGTGAACACTACATGATAACTAAACTTGCTCCTTGGAAAAGCAAGGCAGCAGGTAGCAGAAACTTATTATTGAATGGATACTTAAATTTTCAGGTATTAATTAAAGCTACAAATCTTACTTTTCCAGGAAATTCAAAAACAGCAAACCAAAAAAAAGTCCCCTGGTATCCTCCAAAAACAGTGCAAAAGACCTGCAAAAATCCACAACAAGGTAAGGCAAATGATACTACATGGGGACAGCTACACCCATTAGTGTAACGTGATTTAATCCTTATAGAGGTCCCTAACACGTCGTATCCGGACTACCTCACACGTTCCACAGAAGACACAAGATGAGACGCAGGCTGTGTGACCTTACAACAGCACACACACCCCCCGCCCTGGGCTTCCATACTCTTCCCTCTTCCTCTCTTTAGCCACCAGACTAAACCGTCCAAACATGGGTGTCAGTTGGCCCGCTTAAGCCCCACTGGGAGGAATACACTAGGCTAAGCAAACATCCCTTCAGGATTTCACGGCAAAGCCCTTTCAACCAAAAAAAGGATCGCCACCTTTCTCTGAAGGAAAGAAAGATAAGAAGGTCTGCCTGAGGAGAGCAGGTCTGCGGGGGGGGGGGGGGCGACAGCAGGGGTCGGGGGAGAGGCCGCTGTCTGCCGGTGTCTAGAGAGGCTGACACCAGATCCACCGGGAGGTTAGAGCATCACGAAGCAGACTCGCCGAAAGCCGAGTTGGGTAGGGGAAGAGCTCGTCGGCTGGGCGGTGAGCGAGCTGAGAGGCGGGGGTCCGCGGGGAAGAGGGATGGGCAGCGATGAATACGCCTTGGAGCTGGGGGTCGCAATGGGTTAGGGGGCGGCCGTGACTGGGTCTCAGAGGAACTGTGATCGGGTCAGCTCACGGGAGGATGTAACGGAGCCCGGAGGCTCCATTAAGAGTCGTAAGAGAGTCCGAGGGGGGTTCTAACGCCGTGTGCTGGGGTAGGGGCCCGTGACAGACCCGCCGGGGAGGCTGGAGGACCGGAACGGCGCCGGCCCATGGTAGATACGATGGGTGCGGTCTACCGGAGCCCCGGGGCAGCGATCGGGTGTCTGGGAGGCCCCGGGGACGACCCGCGCGGGGCGTCTCCGCTGGGGCGGGGCGGGGCGGCCCCGCAAGAGCCAAAGAGCGAGACTGAGACGTGGGCCGGGCCGGCGGCAGGGCCGCTGCGCTGCTTGGGCGGGTCTTACCTCGGGCTCCGCCGCGGTGGCCACCACAGCCCCCTCCTCTTCGACGGAAGCCGCCTCCCAGCCTCGGTCCCAGGGTCAGACCGGAGGAGACAGCGGAGGCGGAGGCCCCCGAGGGTCGGACGGTTCCGGGAGGGTGGGCCCAGCTGCCTCAGGGTCCGGGCGAGCGGCCGCCGCGCATCCCCCGCCCTGTCAGAGAGACTCCGCCCGGCCTGGGCAGGCACATCGCCCGCCGCACCCCGCCCAGAGAGCACGCGTTGGCCCGCCGCCTCAACCGCTGTCGCTGCCTCTGCCGGTGCCGCGGGTGCCTCCGCCGCCGCCTTTCACGGTGCCGGCTGGACTCTCAGCAGTCACCGCCAACCGCCGCCGCGTCTCTAGTCCGCTCGGGCCCGCGCGCCCCCGACCCCGCGCACGCGGCCCCGCCCCACGCGACTCCCCGGCTGCAGGCGAGCAGGCGCGCGCGCACTTACCTCCCACGCCCCCTACCGCCCGCCCGAGCCGGCCCTCCGGCTCGGCCCCGCCCCTGCGCGTGACGCCGCCAGCGAGTACAGCTTGCGCTTGCGCGGACACGCCTTATCTCATCCCGCCCAGGAGGCCCCGCCCAACCTTTTCTTCCTCACCTTACGGCAGAGTTGGGAACGCTGCCTTAGATTTTCCCTCTACGAGAGAGGACTGTCGCAAGGTTGAGGTAGAAAATTCTGGGTTTGCGACCGTAGCTCTCGCTTTCCGGCCAACAGCGAGGTGCCAGAAGGCTGAATGGGGTGGTGAGGCCCCAGACAGGTAAGAAGCCGCCTCCCCACTTCGGTTTGTCAGCCAGTGTGTCCCAGCAGGGGACTGCTTTGCTGTCCACGCAGCTGTAGCTATTCGTGCCCCCTCCCCAATTCTGCCGCAGGGTTCTCAGCGCCGCCCCTCTTAGCCCCCGCCCCTCTCCACACACACGCCCCTTCCCCCTGCATTGGCCCGCCCCGGACCTCCGTTTCCTAGTCTTCCTTTCCATTCATTCCGCAGACTTTTCATTGAGTGGTTTCCGTGCATTAGACTCCATAAAGTCAGAAGCGAATGAAATAGTCTCAGCTTTCTGAAGTGCTGTGTTACGTGGAAGACGATGAGAGAATCCGCAGTGGTGGTGTAGTAAAATCATAACAGAAAGAAAGCACAGGATACTCTCTGAGCATAGGAGAGAGGCCCCTGGTTGTGTAGAAGGACGGGAGGAAACCCCTTCCAAGGTGACGTTTGGGTCATTCTTAACTTATGTTAAAAGGCTCGTGAGCAGTAGCTGGTCGAAGAAGTGTTAGATGAGATAGAAGCAAAGAGAATGACGGCTACAGAAGCATATGACGGTATTGGCTGGAATGGTAAAAAAGAGGAATAGAATATAGCTGGTGGAAACCATACTGGTGTAGACTAACCTTTAAAGAAGCATTGCTGTGAAGGCTCAGAGCGATGAGGGGCGAGAATGTGGGCCGCAAGAATGTTTTCTTGAAAGATGGGAGACTTGGGCATAAAAGTGTACCATGGAAATGAAAAGTGGACAATTCATGAGTGAGAGTGGCTAATTTATAGGATCAAGAGCACTAGTGGAACTCAACTTTGTATGCACATTAGAATCACCTGGGAAGCTTTTTTAAAAAATAAAAACCAATGCTGTTGGTCTACCCAAGACCAATAAAACAAACTCTGGCATCAGTAATATTTTAAAGTTCCTGAGATGGCTCTAGTGCTGAGGGTTGAGAACCACTAAACTAGAGAAAAGGAAAGGATGGAAAGTAGAGAAAGGCAGGAAGTTGCTGGAGTTGGCTCTGTAACATTAAGATGGGAGTCATTTGATGAAAGAGTTAGGGATAGAATGAGAAGCTTGAGCAGAGTGATAAAAGTTTTGAATAACTGCTGTGGGAAATGGGAGAAAGAGTCACTCCTGCCTTTTCCTTCAGCACAGTTCCATCCCTCAGTCTTAATCAGGCCCACCTCGCTTACGACTCTCTTTCCTCTCCCTTTCACTTCCATCCAGGATTTGTCACCTGGGGATCCAGCCTTAGAGCTCAAGGGCATCCCCATTTCTATCCCCAAAAAGATCAGAGCTAAGCCAATTTATGAGATTCAAAGGCTGACTTCACTCCCCTACACACAGTGCCTTACCAGTTTAGAATCTGTCTTCTATTATTCATTTCATCAATCATTTAAGTTAGGAATGAGATATAAGGATATTTAAGATATAGCCCTGTTAGGATCTCATAGTATTAGGGAAAACAAAGCTTTAAAAGAAGAATTCACTTGGCAGGCGAAGAAGGTCTTTATAAGGCAAAGCCCTAGCCAGTGCATGGTTATTCTCTGTTAACTAGGGTTAATCCAAAAACCTGTCTGCCTGCCTCCAGATAAGAGAGGTGCTGTTGTCTGGTATGACTGGAGTTTAGTATGGAGAGTAGGGGTGGGGCAGAGATAAAGATGATAAAGTGGGTGTGAACAAATTATGAGGAGCCTTGAATTCCATGCTAAAGCATTTATATTATATACCATAAGCAATTAATAGGTATAAGTACCAAAGATAAAAATAACCTCTTTACACCATGAACCTCTTTGTCAGCCTGGCCTGTGGACCCTATCTCAGAATAACGTTTTTAAATGTATAAAATAAAATACATAGAAACATAAATCAATTTTATTAAAAGTTTTGAAAATACTAAAACAAGTGTATGGCATAGTTATGTGCTTCTTTATGCATTAAATAACATCTGGCAGCAGGTCTAATTATGTAATTTCAAAGTAGTGATGAGTATAAATTATATTTTGAGATACTTGTAACAACTTTAAAGTGATGTGAAAATATCATATTTCTGTTGATGACAAAGACATAGGGACTGCTAATGCTACTGTGGATTATTGCCTACACCTATTGAAGAAAATGCTAAATTTTAGCTGGAGATATTGATAATAAAGATCCAACTTTTTTCCCAATTCAAGTTTGTAGAACCCTTAAATTCTAGCCACATCTTGGCCCATCAATCCTAGATTTATAAAAAGCTCACTGTAATGGTTTTAAGCAAGAGCGTGACAGATCAATCTGTATTTACTAGAGCAGTGTTCACTTCCCGACCTCTCTGTTGGAGTGGAAGTGGGGAACTGGCTGTTTTCTTCTGCTCCTCCTGTACCTTAGGGGCAGCAACCAGTACGAATCCACTGTTGCCTAATAATTTGGGCCTGCAGGAGGACTGAGCTTGTGGCTGTATTTGTAGAGGCAGTTCTAGGAAATAACTTGGGAAAGATCAGTTGGGGCTATTTTTGTGGAAATCATTGAATGCTAGGCTGTAATTTGTACTTAATTTGGTAGACAATTGAGAGATGTGAAAATTTTTGGAGTAGAATGATGTAATTAGAGTTCTGTTTGAAAAATTAATCTAGCAGTAATGTGTAGGTTAGATTGTCAAAAGAGAAGATAGGAACAGAGACTAGACCAATAAATAAATAATTAAATAAATTTTTTAACTAAATTTTATATAAAGTGATCTCTCCAGAGTCTGCTGAGTTACTTTATTTCCCCAATGTGACTGACCAGTCTAAAGAAACATAGATTGGAATAAATTACATACCTTTCAAGAGAGATGTGCACACTAATGTGGAGGTCAATTAGCATTTTACGTGGTCAAGAGGCTAGCCCATTCTTTTGTATTATAAATGATAATGTTAGTACTTCTGATAAGCAGTGGCTTTACCACATATATAGGTTCCCAGAGGTTGCTAAGGCCTTCCTTGGTTAAATTCCATCTAGACATGTAAGTCCTACATTGCTGACTCCTTAAGGTCAAAACACCTCTCTCTTTGCCAATTCCTTAAACCTCTTGGATAAGTAAAATGCGTTAGCAAACAAAAAGGAAGTCCTCAAGGCCCATCTCTTTGGAAACTGATCAGTATTAGACTATATAAAACTTACTGCCCGAATCCTGGCTAGCCTCCAAATTGTGTGCTTTTTTAAACATATTATTCAAAAAAAATTTTTGAAGGTCCAAATATTACTAATCAAAATGAGTAAATGTGAAGTTACTTAACTTTCTGAACCAAATTCTCTGAGAGACTGCCTTCTTCAGCATGAGTATAACTTTAGCTTGACCACACCTTGTATTGACTTTGTCCATCTAACTATTGGAGACTATTTGTGTAGTGATAAGGTTCAGTACAGACTGAAAATCAAGTTTATGTAGAGTTTGAGATTCGTCTATCTGTCCCCTTTTTGGGGAAAGAGAGGAATGGGTGCATCTTAAAGCAGAGAGAATACTTGAAATTTATGAGGTTTTTTTAAGAATTTTTATTACTTGCAGAAAATCTCTGAAAGTTCCTTTCTCGGGCTTCTAATTAAATGGCTACCCCTTCGCACATTCATCTGTTATGGAAGCACTAGAACACAGTCCTGATACTGGAAAAAATTGTCCCAGTTACAGTTATTATTTTTGAACATCTATATTACAGGTTTAAAAACCTTAAGTCTGCCTTCCCTGATAGCCAACAAATAAATAAATGCTCTCTCAGAGTAGTGTGATAAGTTAAATTCCTTCAAAACAATAGCTTGAGGATTTCTGGCCTTAGTTGGCTCTTAATTTTCTCACAGCAGCAACTTGTCACTTGACATTAAAATAAATAGTTGCTGGAAATGGTTAGCCCTACTTAGTAATATGTAATATCATTCAGACTTGGTCAGATAACTCACAAGTGTTTGTGTTAATTAACATTCAAAGACAAATTGCTAAGACAGAAAATTCTATATATCATGTGTCCCATCAGACTCTGTTTTCCTGTCAGCACAGTACAGTAAAACGTAAGTTCATTATTTCTTTCACTCATTCATTGAATATTTATTGAGCCCCTAGTATGTGCCAAGCACATTTATGAATCCCATTAATTAAGAGTTTCTAATAACAATTTACCTCTTAACTATCTATGAAAAAAATAACTTACCAAGCTTTGAAATCTCCAGGACAAATAAGATTAAAAGGTGATGGCTTTTTCGGACTCTTTCAAACACTGTGTTTACATATTGCTACTATGTGCTGAACACAATGATTATTTATGAAATCAGGCAGATTATAACTTTAGCTTGACCATACCTTATCAGCTAAGTATATCAGCTATATACTAAAATAAAAGTCTGTCCACTCCTTTATAAAATATTATCTTAGACCTCTCATTAAATCTAATGGCCTCCTCACACACTGTCTTTACAACCCCAGTCATTTTAAATTTTGCAGTTGTGTAAAGTCATTTCTCAGAAAATTTAAGCAAAACAAAGTCAGTTTAAGAAAAGGCTGGTGTTTACACCAGGTTTATAATAAGGAAAAATAATTGTGACACAATTATAGATCTAACGCTTGAGATAGAAATAGTAGACTGAAAATAAAGTTCTTTTCATGGTCAATGACACCTTAGCCATGGATAGCAATGCCTAGTAACAGAGCAGTAAATGGAAAGTCTTGGTGCTGGAACAAGTCTTAAAGGGTCACCCAGTTTATCTCCCTGGCCCAAAGCAGGACCAAATGGAATTAATGGCAGTAGAGTTACCAGGCATCATCATCATCATACCAAGTGGTTTTTCTACTTTGAGAGCTGAATTCCTCTATTTGTAAAATATTGATGTTAGAAAAATATTGTTCATATTTATAAATACATTTATAAAATTGAGAAATACCTATCTTTATAACAATTTTGTGTTTTTAGGAGTTTTTCAAAATATATTTCACTTCTGTATTTTGTTCAGCAAAAGCATTCGTTTATTAAAACTTCTCAAGTTTGTCCGA